CGCTCAACGTGTTTTGAGTCTTGCTTCAAGGCATAAGTGCACTTTAAGCACACCTTTGACAACACTATCTAAATGTACAACATTTCTGTGCAAAACTTAATATTTTTAATCCAAAATTCAACCTATCAAGACAATTTTTCTAAAAGAACCAAAAATGACAGCAAACAACACTTCTTTCTTATATATGACAATGGTGTGCAGGCCAGCTATCGCACACCTCAACTAATTCCACGGATACCTTCCACCTCCCACCAGCAACAACAGACATCAAACAACAATTCAAAACTCAAAACTCAGCAGGAAAGAACAAATTGCCTCAACACCTATCCAAATCAACATTACAACAAAACAAACAAACCTTAAAAACACAAAAATTCATCACAATTCCCATAAAAACCCAACTTCAACAACATGAAATCCAATCCATTCAGCTCAACAAAAAAAACTACATTCCAATAAAATCTCAAAAACTACAAACAACACCTTCCAAGACAACACATTTACAAATCCCAATTCAATAAAAAAACCAGCAAAACACTAAATTTCAACATTTATAATTAAAACAGATAAAAGGGGTATCATAATTTGAGATAAAAAAACATACCAGCACAAGATTTAATAGTATGGATCTTGAGAAGCAAAACAAGAACACTAGCCAAATGGGTCATATCCGCAGCAAGCCTGAATATATTCATCTTTTCTCTAAACAAGATCAAAATTGAATCTTTTTCAACAAACCCCACCAACAGATCTACCCAGAAAAATCACAGATCTTGGTTAATTCTCACACACACACACACACTGCCACCAGTTATTTTGTTCTTGAAAAAATTGTACACAAATATTTCGGGCCAAAAAAGGGATTCGTTTAGGTAACGGCAAAAGAAAACGGGTTTAACGCCGTTAATGTGAATGAATAATGGATATACGTGGCTCGTCCAATCAAAATGTAGCTTCATGCGTGTAAGATTTTAGCAATATGTCATAATACGTCGTGTTTCGTTTTAATTTGTTTGTCTGAACATCTTTTGATAACTTTTTAATTCCACGTAATTATGTTTCAAATTAAAATAGAACAAATAAATTGAAATAGAAGAAGTAATAACTAAATGTAATTGTTTTTCATAATAAAACATTTTTATATTTAGAAAATAGCAGCTAATTTTTACTCTTTTACTCTTGTAATAATTGTTATTATAATTTTATAATGGGAAAGAAGAAAAATATATCCCGAACTATCATAAATGGTATGCAGACACTCTCTGTCATATTTTTGAGACATTGATGCCCCTGTTGTCCAAAAATTAGAGTATATATACTCTTTATACTAACAGATATACACGTGTCATAATCTTATCCACTAAGCCGACATTTATTAAATATTAGATCGACGGATAAGATTGCGTCATGTGTCCCTATTTAGTCTCCCGTTAGAGTGAAGGGAATATATGCTCTACTTTTTGGACGACAGTGATACCAATGTCCCAAAAATATAACGAATGGTATATGCATACCATTGACGATAGATCGAGATATATAATTTCAATTAAAAACCAAATAGTTTAGTAATTTATCCATATTATCTATTACAAGTTTGTTATTATATAATGTTGTTTCAACTAAGCTAATAATATCTTCACTGTTTTATTATAAATCACTTTTCATCGGTAAATATCGAGTGATTTTATTCATTAATTAAAATTAAGACAAAGTGAAAAAATCACCAATTTGACAAAAGCTATAGAAAGTATTAAAATATTATGGTTTGTATATAGATGACGTTGAGACATATTAGAATCTGTATGAAACGCTTAAAATTTTTAAGGTCAACTTTGGAATTTTTTATGTTGATTTCTTAAAGTATTAGAGTATATTATATAGTTTAATAAAATAATAATTAATTCTTTATTTTTTTAATTATTATTTTGGATATTAATAATTCTTAACACATCGTATGGACTTTCGTGTTTCATGGGCCGGAAAAAGAGAGTCGGAGATTATATGGGCCTAGACAAATTGACAATTTATAGGCTCAACTCGATGAATAAGTACATAATTTAGATATTAATCACTTCATCGATAATAATGATATATTCAGTATAATTCTGTAAATGGAGTTTGAGAAGGGTACATAATTTATATATTAATCACTTCATCAATAATAATGATATATTCAGTATAATTTCGTAAATGGAGTTTAAGAAGGGTGGTGTGTATGCAACGTTACCTTTGCATTCATAAGTAGAGAGGTTGTTTCGGATTGACTCACAGCTAGCTCAAGCAAAGTCTATTAAAATAAAGGATGGAAAGAAAATAAGTAGTGAAAAAAACATGCTAAAATATAGGAAAGGAAAACAATAGCAATAACAAATAATCAAGTAATCGAAACAAAAGAAACGATAGGTAACAGTCATTTAAACAACAAAATAGTAGAAAAGTAATAATAATAATGCTCTTCAGGAAAATTAAACAACACTCGACTACTTACTAATTTTCTACTCTAATCATTGAGCTTCATAACCTCCTTTCAGTATCATGTTCTCCATAAGCTACGAATGTGTCATGTAATGTCTAAGCACCTATCCCTTGTATATTTTGTGTGTATATACCACTCCTCATACCCACCATATTGTCAACCTCCCACATCTCCTTAATGGGGCATCTGTGTATCTACTCTTCACATATGTCTGAACCACTTAAGTCTTGTATGTCTCATCTCGTCCATCACTAGAGTCGCTCCCACCTTAATTTTCTTGAATATCTTCATTTGTAATCTTATCTCTCCTAATATGCTAACGCATCCATTTCATTCATTATGACTACTTTAATATTTTAGACATGCAAGCAGGAACAGACCCACTTAGAGTCCTCTAGGTGTTCAAGATGCACCCATTAACCTTGTATCGAACTATACATATTTATGTAGAAATTAAGAAGCATTAAAAATTAACATAAAGCACCCAGTGAACAAATAGTTTGATTGATCCTGTGGCTCATGGTGGGTGCTTAAGGTTGTTTTAGCGTTGTTGAGTCTGGGCACACACAAGTAATCTAACTCTAACAATCATTTTATAAAGCTTACATTTAAGTCTTACTAGCACAATCTTATCACACAATACATCAAATGTGAACCTTCATTTCATCCACCTCGCTTTAATACAATATATAATATCATCGTCAATCTCTTTATTTTCTTAGATTATTAACCCTGACTACTTAAAAACTTTTATCATGAAAATAACTTGTACATCAATATTCACTTCCACATTTATCACGTAAATTACATCTCTCACTAACTATTTTCCAATCAGAAAAATGTACTTATAGTGAGAAACCAAATCATATAGTATCAATGGTCATTAATTAAATCCTTCAAGCTTAATCTAGAGTCCACTAAGCAAAGTGAATGCATTGATTAGTTTGACTAACTAATTTTTGCTTCAATTTTTTTTCAATGAAATATGACATTTCCCATTTAGAGACTAGGAATATACCTTATGGTATTTTGATTATTCCACGAGAAAAGGACAAAAAATGTCAACTCAATAATGTAATAACAACGAGAAAAGTCAATTTTATCGACTTATCAATTCATATCCACATTAGAATTCGATTAGATTTGAATTTATATTGAAAAGTCTCACAATAAAGCGCTTTAAATCCAGACCACAATCCTTATTAGTTACTTAGCATGTTTCTTATCTCCATATAACTAAACATTAACAAGTTGATTTGAGCTTACTTCAATCTCGATTATATTTTAATAAATGTCATTTAAACTCGCTCAATAATATTAAAGCTTGATAAATCTCGATCGACTCAAAATTGTAGTAAGCTCCATTGGACTCAACTTGCTCTTTTTAATCTTTACTCAACTCCATACTCACTAATATACAAAAAGAATTAAGAAATTCTAAAGGAGACAAAACTTTTTTTTTTTTAATTTTATTTTTTGGTAACAACAAAGCTCAAATTTTTAGGAGGAAAAATATGATATCTTGAAATATTTTATTTTGATTTTTCCTCACTATACATTAAAGAATAATTTATACCATCATGCACTATCCTTCTCCAAATATAAATTATATAATAATAGAAAATAACTGAATTTTTACCTTATTTTTGTGTGTTTGATATTGTGGTAGAAAAATATCATTATAAATGTATTTGTATTTAATATAAACAAATGTTATGTAACTTATAAAAACGAAGATGAGTCGTGTTGGAGGATGGAAAAGACACCATATAAAATATCATTCATGAAACTTTTTATTATTATTATTTTCACTAAGAAAGAAACTTATATTTATGAAAATATTTTCAATTTTTTTTACCAAACGAATATGAAAAAAATCAATAACATTTCTCCATATCAAACACTACGAAAAGGGAAAATGGTCATATTTGCACTTTTACTATGTAAAAAGATTTATTTTACCTTTTATTATACTATTAATACATAACTTACCCTATAATTACTAATATAGTTCAAATACATCACACATAATATTGACATTTTTAGCAAAATAAAATCACGTGACATGTCATCAAAACAAATAATTGCAGGCCCTTTGGCGTGAGAAACTCTGCAAGTTTATAATATAACAAAAGTTGGCGTAAGAAACTAAAAAAAAAAAACCATTGATTTATGGCCACCTTTTTTTCCCCATTGTTTTCTTTTTCTCTTTTCAGTATAACTATCATCACTGTGTCCTACTCGGGTACTTTTTAACGCCTACTCAAAATAAGTCGAATTTTAATGATAATATCAAATAATGAGTAGGAAATTAAAAAAAAAAAAACTGTGATTGAGGAATACCTCTACCCTTCTTCTTTTTTTCTTTTTTTTCCCAATTCAAAAATCCAAAAAATACAACAAATAATCAACAATTTTCATTTTCCCACCTTTTCCAGCAAATTCCATTTTTCTCCCCATGGTTTTTTATATTATATATATGTCTCAAAACTTCAAAAATAAATAAAATTGGAGCATATTAAGATCATATTCTTGAGTTTCATCATTTTTTAGCTATTAGTTATATAACCCCTTTTGATTTTTATTGGTGTTATAGTGATAAAGTTTGAATCTTTATCTATATTTCTGTGAACCCTTTTGGTTTCTTGAAGTTTTAAACCTGGTGTTTGGTTATTTGGGGCATGCAAATTCTTGATTGATTATGAAGTATTTTGGGGTTGTGGGGTCAATCTTGATTTGGTTTTTGGTTTTTGTTAGCTTTGTTGAGGTTAATAAGGGTCAAATTCTAACTACACTTGATGGACCTTTTAAGCCAGTGACTGTTCCTTTGGACCAAAGTTTTAGGGGACATGCTGTTGATTTGCCAGACACTGATTCTAGAGTTCAAAGGACTGTTGAAGGATTTGAACCTGAGCAGATATCTGTTTCCCTTTCTGCTACTTATGACTCTATTTGGGTTTCTTGGATTACTGGTAAAAATTTACGTTTTTTTATGTTTTTAGTTTGAATTTTGAATCTTGTTGTAGGTCCATAGTAGTTTTTGTTGTAGTTTCTTGTCTTTCATTTGTGTTATTATACGTTGTTTGTTGTATTTCGACTATCGTATTACTTTGTTGTAGTATTGTTCTGTTGTTATTGGTTGGTTCTTGTACTTCCATTACTATTTGGAGTATGTTTCTTTTCTTGAGCCGAGGGTCTACAGGAGTCTCTACCTCTGAGGGTAGGGGTAAGGTCTGTGTACAACTTTATGGAGATGATCCTCTCTCCCGAGCAGAGGCGGAACCATGATTTCAACTTTATGGGCTGTGGATATTAGAATGATGATTTCAAGTGTTAATAACTGGTTTTCAAAACTTAATAGTTGTATATATTTTATAGGTTTCTTTACACAAATACACTGTTTGAGCAAAAGCTATTGGGTTTCGACCCTGTATGGGGTTCTAGCTTCGTTCGTGCTCCTGAGAATCCACTTTGTGGGACTATGGTGGGGGGGGGGGGGGGGGGGGGTGTATGTTGTTGTTGTTAATTTGAGTATAAATTCTAGCTAGAAGAATTAGTGCTTGTATCAATTTTGTATGGTGTTTTGTTGGCACAAGAGTTCTTAAGAAATGAATATTTTTGAGTCTTTTGTGGTAATGTCTTATCTATAAAATGTATGTTAAATTCAGTTGTTAGTCACAAATCTGAGTTGATAAATATGGAAATTACAAGACACTGTTTGCTTTTAACTCATGTCCAACTTTTAATTGACAGTGATATGAGCACAGTATTGGATATAAAAGATCTTCTTTGTTGGTTTGTCCAAAGTTTAAATTGTTTGTGATGACGTATATTTGCCTTAACGTCTTCCATCTCAGATATGTTAAATTCAATTATCTGTCATCAAATTTGAGTTGATAAAATGGAAACAAGATTCAACATTATATTCTTTTTTTAGTCATGGCCAACTTTGAGCTCCTGTTTGGCCATGAATATAATACAGAAAAATATTCGATACTGGTTTGTGCAATTTTAATTTGTGTGAGATGAGATATGCTTTGGCTAACTGGTTAGAGAACCCTAACATCCTTGATCTGAGATGGAGTTTAAGAATGTGTGGTTTACTGTATTTGCAGGGGAATATCAAATTGGCAACAATATTAAACCATTGGATCCAAGTAAAGTTGGTAGTGTTGTTCAATATGGGAAAGATAAATCCTCCTTAAGACGCAAAGCAATCGGCCAGTCTGTTATTTATAATCAACTTTATCCATTTGAAGGACTTCAGAACTACACTTCTGGTATTATACACCATGTCCAACTTACAGGTATGCTAGCTGAAACTTAATATCTGTTTCTCTGTTCTAGTTGAATTTCCATAGCGCGATATGTTCGGTATTCAGCAGAAAGTTTCTGAGATTGTCAACTGGAGTTTACCAATTTGCTACTTATGAAGGAGTATAAAGAGACCATTCGTTAGTCTTACTCAAATTTCAGATCGTGTTAGCACTTCCTCTCTGCCTTGTCCTATGTTTTTCTAGGAGTTGTTTTAACCTTTGAGAGGAGTTATACATCAGTAGAAATTTTAAAGAATTCGTACTTTTAATTATTGTTTTTATGTTTTACATGGCCTGAGATGAGTTTAAATGAAGTAATATTGTCACCGAGAATTCATATAGCTGGTACTAACTAGGCTTGGACCATTGTAATAATTTCTGAAAGCAAGTCTCCCATGTAATGATTGGTTTCTCATGTTTGATTTAGTCATTTGGTGCAATTTTTCCTGCTGCAGGATTGAAACCGGACACATTATACTATTATCTATGTGGAGATCCTTCTATACCAGCTATGAGTACTATCTATCATTTCAAGACCATGCCTATTTCGTCTCCAAAGTGTTATCCGAAGAGAATAGCAATTGTAGGGGACCTTGGTCTTACATACAATACAACTTCTACGATTAGCCATTTGACAGGAAACAATCCAGATCTTGTTCTATTAGTGGGAGATGTTACTTATGCTAACTTGTATCTCACTAATGGAACTGGTTCAGATTGCTATTCATGCTCATTTCCCGACACTCCAATACATGAGACATATCAACCTCGGTGGGACTATTGGGGAAGGTGAGAACTTGAAATCGTTTTTGCCCATTCAAAATTTTTCTTTATGCATCTCGAGTAAAGTAATAAATACGCGATTCATTACCATAGAATAAAATGGATAGTTCAACTTCTGTACTGAGAATTTAGTATTTAACAGAGATAATCCCTAACTATTCTTCATAAACGACCAGCTTTTGATTTCCATCAGAGCATAAAAACATGTATACTTCACTAGTTTAACTGGTGCTTCTGCTTCTGACATTGTCACGATAGATATATGCAGCCATTGGTGTCCAAAATTCCCATCATGGTGTTGGAGGGGAACCATGAGATAGAAGAACAAGCTGAAAATCAGACATTTGCAGCATATCGTTCTCGCTTTGCTTTCCCATCAAAAGAAAGTGGATCATCATCCCCATTATACTATTCTTTTAATGCGGGAGGCATACACTTCATCATGCTTGGGGGATATGTCGCCTATAATAAATCAGGTAAACTACAAACTCAACCTTTTCTTCAATTCTGTTACTATTTCCCCTTTGTTATGCTTGTAGTCAACTTCAACAAATTATCTCAAATCATCGATCAGCTGGAATCTATCGTGTTTTCACTTCTTTGCCATTCTGCTAAATTTCGTGAAGTGTCATGATTCTCTAAGCTTATGATTACAGATGATCAATACAAGTGGTTGGAGAAGGACCTGGCTAACGTTGATAGGACAATTACTCCATGGCTAGTTGCCACTTGGCATCCACCTTGGTACTCTACTTACACAGCACACTATCGAGAAGCTGAATGTATGAAGGTAGCGATGGAGGAGTTGTTGTACGAGTATGGTGTCGATTTAGTCTTCAACGGACATGTAAGTACAACACTAATATACCGATATCAAAGAGCACATAAACTACTTTGTACCCTTCTAGGTGCAGCACAATAACATAGATCTCGGATACTGATGAAGTGAAGAAATCTACAGGTTCATGCCTATGAAAGGTCCAACAGAGTCTATAACTACACACTGGATCCTTGCGGTCCAGTCCATATAACTGTCGGTGATGGTGGAAACCGTGAGAAGATGGCGATAGAACATGCTGATGAGCCAGGAAAATGTCCTGATCCAGCTAGCACACCGGACAAATTTATGGGTGGATTCTGTGCCTATAATTTTACATCAGGTCCAGCAGCCGGCAACTTCTGCTGGGATCAACAACCTGAATATAGTGCATATAGAGAAAGTAGCTTCGGCCATGGAATACTTGAGGTCAGTATACATCTCTTTCACCGTAAAATTTAGAGTTAATGGTCAAAACCTAAACTATCGCTTTTTCACAAGTTTCATACCTCAACTATCACTCCGTTTATATTAAAACACACCTCGATACTGAGTTTGACTATGTTTTGTTGCACAAGATCATTTGGGGAACTCATTTTATAGACTGTTTGACAATTGCCAAAACTTGTCAAATGCCTATAAACCAAAATAATGTGCTCACACGACTTTGGTCAAGTGGTTAGGGACATGTCACGAGTTTGAATCCTGTCTAGGATCAAAAAGCTTGGTATTTGAGTAAAGAAGGGTAAGGTACAGGGGCAAGCCATGTACCAGCTTACCCTCGGGGATTTCTTGGTTACGAAAAAAAGGAGTTTTGAAGACTCATTTTCTAGATTGTTCAAGTTATTCGTCCTGGTATGCATAGGTTCGACTTTCAAGATAGAAAGATAGAGCCCTTCCATTTCTTTGATGCACACGACTTTTTCACCGAGTCTACTTCCACAGTTGCTTGAGCGACAACCACCTCGCGTCCCGTTCTAGTTCTTGCATATTTTAATTCTTGTGGTTAATATTTTTGCAGGTGAAAAATGAGACACATGCTCTATGGACATGGCATAGGAACCAAGATATGTACAATAAAGCTGGAGATATAATTTACATAGTGAGACAACCTGAGAAATGTCCTATTAAACCAAAGGTAATTAAGCCCTGGTTAGTACAAAATTACAAATTTGATTGGATAAAAAAATTAATCTAACCCCAATTAGCTGGGGAAAAAGGAATAGATAGAGAAAAAAAATTCCACTTTTTGGAAATTTTGGTTCACAAATCATAGTATTTGATAACACTAATATTCTTTAGTACAAAAATGTTGATTCAATTAAGAAACTCCACATTTGTTGTATATTTTGAAAGGGATTACTATATTTGAATTTTATATGTAATTTTTATATAATTTGTTATGAAGGTAATGGAAACTCATTCCCTCTTCGTTTTACTAATTAGTTAGGGGTTGTTTAGTTGTTGGTTAGAGTTATGTAAGTATTATGCGGAATTTAGTTATTTTATTTTTTATTTTGAATAAAATAATAGGTAAATTGATTTAAAACTTATTTTTTTATGTTCGGTTGTAAAATGATAACTAAACATCGTATTTGGTGTGCTGAATTTTATACGAAACAACTAAAATGCTCCAAACATGATATTAGCAATGCTATAAATTTTAATAGATGAAAAGTTCTCTTCCTAATTAGCAACTAAATGACTCCATAAATTCTTCAAAAAAAAAATCTTTTATTTTATACCCAACATAAAGTTTTTGTGCAATTCATATGCATTAATTGGTTGAATTTCATATTTTCTGAAATTTATTTATTATTAAACTCATTTTTTGCTTTTTAATTATTATCATTTTAAATCTTAACAGAAGCATATGATGGGAGACAAAGGCAAACGTGATTAGAGACGATGTGTCAATTTGCAGTTTATGAATCATAAGCAATAAAAAAAAATAAAAAATTTATGGCTACATTTGTTGGGATTGAAATAATTAGGTGTTATGCAGAAGCTAACAAAACAAATCTCGAAAGGCCATGAGTAAAAAAACAAATAAGTTATATCAAAAGAGACAAAAACATTTAACATGGGACGAGCAATCAACTTACGTCTATAAAAGCATATGAGAAATTCACTATATAAAAGATAGTATAAAATAACCTCACACAATTTACTCGGAATTAAAAGATGTGCACACAAATTCTCTATATTTACCGATTTAGCACTTTTGAAACGTTACCTTATATTATGTTGATAGGAGGTAACATCAAGGTACATGCAAATTAATCCGACGTAACCAAAAAATCCCCGAGTGTAAGTTGCGTACGACCAATATATAATGGGCCCACCATTTTGTCATTTTCAGTCAAATACCAACACTTTTATCTATAACAAAAGGTTAAACTCGTGACGTGCATCTAACTGACACATCACGTGTTGCGCTCTTACCATTAAAAAAACCAGAATGTTACTCCAAAGGGTTAAAGTTTTCATAATAGCTTTCATTTTCTAACCAAAATTGTAATGTCCTAGCCTTAAACTACTAGCAAAAGTATGGCTATATTTCTAAACATGAATGGCTATAACTACAATAATTGAAAAACATGAAGTAATAGAAGCATAAAAAATGCAACATGAACCAAATTTGAATACTTGTTAGAAGCATTAGATGTCTCTGAGTCTGGAATCCCCGGTCCACTGTGCGGTGTCGTTCCTCCGTTACTATTCAAAGGAAGTGCAGTCCCCGGTGGTGGTGGTGGATATCGAATTGGTGTCGTGGTGGTTGTCCCTCCCGTACCACCACCGGGGGTGCTCGGAGTAGTAGTAGTAGAGCCACCAGCAATGCTGAAAATAAATTAAGTTCAATACAATATATTTTGTGTATCAGAAATCACAACAAGTGAATTTCATTTAAAGTCGTTTAATTGATCAGTAATTTTCGTTGGTTGACTACTTAAACTCTCACATTATAATGTTCTATTGGTCGTGAATCGTGATGCATTGGTATGCATAACAAAACTATGTGGTAATATCCAACGTAACTAATGTTATTCATAGTTATTCAAACTTCTCAAAAATATTGTCGGACCATCAGGAAACATTTGAAGTATCCGACACGAATATAAATATACAACAACACTTTCGAAGAGTCCAAACATTGTATTGTCAAAATCAAAACTGTTCGAGATGACTATTTCCTATATAGCTGACTTTTGCAGCTTTTCTCAGACTATATGACATTACACATTACTTTTAACGTACACAATAATAATTTCAAAACACCATTAAAAAGAAAATGTATTTTGATATCTACATCAAATTATTATTATAAGCTCCCAACTATTATTTAACTATACTAAACTTTAATTTTGTTTAAAGAATATATCCAACATTCTTTTGGTAGCCAAAGTTAAAAGAAACAAACACAATCTGCAAACAAATATAATAACCTAACAAATGTTTTTTGACATCTTTATTGTCTACAAAATTCTCTCAACACTTTTTTGTTAAACTATTATTAAAACAACTTTCAAAAATTATTATTAATTTGAAAAAATAAAATAATGTGACAACCGACAACCAAGAAAAGAACTAGAAAAATATCAAGAATTACCATACATCAAAAGAAAAAAAGAAAAAAAAAAAAGGAAAAGTAATGTGAGAGAAATTAAAGTTAAAAAAAACTCATACCTTGGAGATGCTGGATAAACACAAGATCCATAACCTACATTATACACACAAAAATTAAAAAAAAAAAAAAAAAACTTAATCAATACTCAACAAATAAACTTTGATGTATAATCGTAGTTCAGAATTAAAAAAATAAAATTTATATATTCAATAAACTACATAAAAAACACTTTATTATTTCTAAAATAATCAACTAGCATTCAAAATCCACTAATCCAATTTTACACCAAAAAGATAAAAATTAACTATAACTCAATACTATCATAATAATAGTAAATAATTCAAAAAAATTCATAGTAAAAAAAATAAAAGTTTTTCTTTTTTTTACACTCAAAAACAATAATATTGTTGGAATATCATTCACTGTATTCATAACCAGAAATCTCGAGTTCAAATCCTAAATATGAAAAAGAATCTTATTGGACCCTATAATCAAGACTCCAATACGAATACAAAACATCAAGTAGTAGTGTGTAAAACTAATATAGTGATGGAATGTCAATCACTGCGTCCATAACTAGAAGTCTCGAGTTCAAATCCTAAATATGAAAAAGAATCTTACTGGACCCTATAATCAAGACTCCAACACGAATACAGAACATCGAGTAGTGTGTTAAACTAATATAGTGATGGAATGTCAATCACCCCAACTTAACCAGAAGTCTCGAATTCAAACTCTGAATATCTCTAGGCATTGCGCCACACAGTCAAACTCCAATGCAGATACAGAACACCGAGCATAAAACTAACATAACAAAGAAAGTTAAGGGAAAAAAATGATTACTTGGATCAGTTTTAGCAATGGTAGCAGTGCCAGCAAAGTCACAAGAACCAGGTGCTCTGTTCATTCTTTGATAAAATCCATTAAATGCATAAGAAGCATGAGCTTGAATAGTATTAGGAAGATAACAAAGACCATTTTCTAAAATTGGTGCACAATCAGCACCATAAAAACAAGCATAATCTAAAGCATTTTGTAAAGATTGTTCACTTGCATCACTTCTTGCTACACACCATGTTGCTTTAACATGGTTTAAAATTGAAAAATGTAATAATATTATTACAAGAAATAAAAAGTGAAATGGTGGTGGTTTTGCCATGGATTTTGAAGGGGGGAAAAAGATCAAGAAATTATATGGGGTTTTGTTCCTTTTTCTTTTTTGGTTTGTGGGGTTTGAGAGTTGGAAATTTGAGAGTGACAAGTTGGATTTTTTTTTGTTTTGGTTAAAGGGAAAAAGAGAGGAGTGTTGTGGTATAGTGTAGACAAAAGGACCACAAGTGGAGTATGGAGATGGGGTTGGGGAAGGGAGGGGGCGGGGGGGGGGGGGTTAAGTCGAGATGATATTAGTATTTAAAGTTTACGAGTTTTTATAGTGTAAGATGTAGTAATAATAATTGAATTTGTTGTGGTATAGTGTAGACAAAAGGACCATAAGTGGAGTATGAGGGAATTACGTGGAGACAGATTCAATATTTAAAGCTTTATCAGTTTTTAAAATATGTTTACGTTAAAAATATTAATGATTGAGTTCACGGTTAGTATAGATACTTCATTTGTTTCATATTAGTTGATAAAGGGGAGGGGGAGGGGGGTGTAAGTGGAGGTGATTTCAGTATTTAAAATTTACGCCCCTCACGTGTGGTTATTAGTTGATAAAGGGGAGTGGGGCTGTAAGTGGAGGTGATTTCAGTATTTAAAATTTACGCCCCTCATGTGCGGATATTAGTTGATAAAGGGGAGTGGGGCTATAAGTGAAGGTGATTTGAGTATTTAAAATTTACGCCCCTCACGTGTGGACTTGATTGACCTGATTTATTTTTTCACGTGGAATGGGTGACGTTGTGATTCGATTTCAGAACCTCTGTCTGCTCTGATACTATGTTGAAGTGTATCTCATCTAAAGGCTTGAGCTGTTAGAGAGAACACAATTTTATTGATTAATTATATTCTCAACAACCTTCAGTTCAATAAGAAACAGAAAAAAAACAAATGGATTTTTTTCTTTTATTAATTAAAAGTTTGAAGTTTGAAATTTTACGCGATATAAATTTAAATTAATCAAATCACTAAATTTTAACTAAAAAATATACATAAAGCAAGAAAGGAATTAGTTACAAGAAGATGGTTGGTTACTCTTTTTATTTTTTTATGTGTTCTTTTAGTTTGTTTCCTTTTTCTTTTGTTTTGTTCTTTTTGTGGGTTTGCTTTTTCTTTGTTCTTGTGTATATTTTAACCTTGATGGATGTCTTTGTTATGGGTTTAAACATTCTTTAATTTTCCTTAATTTCAGCTTGGCTGTCTTGGAACTTACCAAAGTAACCACAAAGTACAATAAATAAATATTTATTTTGTATTCGATGTTTATGTCAAATTAATAAATATATAAAATTAACTATCCATGTTTAACGTGTAAAATGGAATGGAATAGACAAAGATATCTCATGAGATCAACTCACTTTTTATATGGGATAGTTAATCCCGTCATTTTAGTAGAAATTCCGAGACTACATAATACCCATAGTCAAAACAAAATAGTTTTACACTTTATCTCGAGCATATCATTTTTATCCCACGTACCGAACGACCCTTAAAAGCATCAAAACAGTAAAATTAGAATCAAACTTTAAGTTTATATACATCATCTATATATCAAACTTTGAACGGATGGTCAATTAAACACATTTCATATATAGAAGAAATTTTCTAGATTCGCCATTGATCAAACGTTGAGATTTATTTTGGCCATTTAGAAAAACCATCTTACATTACTCTTTTAACCGGAAACAACCATCCTCCAACACCCACCGATCCTAAGTCGGAAAAAACAACAAATAAAGTAACACCAATACTCTCAAAGCTTATAGTTTAGCGATACCAATACTGTCAAAGCTTATAGTCTAGTGATATCAATAACAGTCTCCCACGTGTTTCACTCGAAATCGATGATTAAAAACAAGGTCATCATGCCAAATCTTGTACTCAAAATGCCAAAACATACTCACATGTGCATTATGAAAAACATTTTGTAAGAAATAAGAAAAAGAGATTTAGTAAATAAGCATTGCTTCCATAAATAAAACAAAGAATTACACTTTCTCAACATGTACATCTTTTAAGTGATGGCACATTGAAATTTAAAATAACAAAAAAAATGGGTGTTAATACTCTATGATTGTAATAATACAACTCACAATTTACCCCTCCAGAAAACCCCTTTCTCTGTGTATATATGTATTTGTTTCTCACACGCGAATACGTAGGGTGATCAGCTCAACCCCGATCATTTCAAAAAATTGCAAAGAAATTCGTATCAAATTTCTTCGTAGAACAAAATATAGGCTTCACTTCGAAGAACTTCTTCCAATGGGACCTCTCGTACGTAGGCATCACTGGCATAATACCACACATAATCTTCCGCATCCTTCTCTTTCCCACCAATCTTTGGGCCTCCTCTAACATATGCAACATAGTGACCTCCTCTCATAGTCCCTGAATGTTCCACGACACCTACAAGCCGGTATTTGTAAACCTCCCTCTGCAGGCACCTGCAGTTTACATCATTTCATCATCAGACAAGGAAGTACAGATGCCATTTTGCGAAAAGAGACTTGAATTGTTGAGGTACTAGAAGTGCAAACTGACATTTTGAAATCGAAGCTTCAAGACAGTAAATGAACAAACAAAACTCGAGAAGTCCAAAATAAGTAAAGACACCTACTTGGTCTTGAGATAATAAGCAGTTTACAGGCGTCTAAATGAGTCCACTCTACTTGGTTTCAAATGTATTCTCTTTCTTTTCTGGTTTTGCAGAACAAATCTAGTTTATTTACTATCATCAATTCTACGGATATCAATCAACTTCTCTTTAATAGACAAATTCAACATTTCCTTTTGAATAGGTTTTACTTCAATAATAGATGTCCCAAGTCCAATATGTAATCAGCAATAAACCGAACACACATTTTTAAAGAATAAAGAGTTCACATCCTACTTAGACTCAATGCTCACAGATCCGCCAATTATTACATCCTTTGCAACTGTTTTTGGCGAACCTTAAGTCAGTGAATTACTTATTGAGAACTGAAGTATCCACATACCAATTAGAACAACAGCTTCATCATGAAACTGACAGTCCTAGAAAAAAAGATATAAAACTCAAAGAACTCGCACTGCTATCCCCTGCTCATGAAGGTCACTAAAGAAACTGAGGTTAATTTTAACTTTGACACGGTGTTGTTAAAAGCACGCTTAAGCTCTGAAGCGAGGCTCAAAACATGTTGAGCACTTTTCCTTGCATAATGTGCGCTTCAGTTCAGGGTTGTCATCGAGATTCTAAGGCATACTTTTTTACTTGCCAATGAACCTCTTCTAAAGAGGTGACACTAAACGATTGATATTTCACTTTATCATTAAAAAAATTCAACTTCTTTGTTCATGCTTTTGTGTTTGTCATTCATGCATATTTATTAGGCAAGGATTAAAAATATATATTTGTATTTTTTTCTCCCTTTGTGCCTTTTTTCACTAAAGCCCACACTTTATTTGCGGTTAAAGCCCCAATGCACCTTAGAGCTTTATCCCCCTTTTGCTTTTGATAACACTACTATGACAGCACCCAGTTTGGTAGAGCAGAGTTAATCTAATGTCGAGCAAAGGACTCGGATCCTTACAACAATGATTAGAATAATGATCCTAAAAAGGCACAAGGAAAGGTGAATTCAAGGCATTGAAGACAATCTTTAAGGTACAAATCTAACTGTTCCCTAAACCCAAACTATGCTCGCCAAAATCAAGAAACCCAAACAACAACAACATACCCGGCGGTTTGTATGCAGACCTTACCCCTACCTTGTGCAGGTAGAGAGGTTGTTCCTCAAAGACACTCAGCTTAAGTAAAGCACCTCTGAGGACAGTCTTGAAGGTACAAGTCCAACTGTCCGTAAATCCAAACTATGGCTGTCAAGGGATTGAAATGGACATTCGATTCTGCCACACATTTTTTTAGTACATTTGCCAACAAATCTCCACAATATAATAGAATAGAATAGAATATGAGCAGTTGTATCTAGCGAATCGCCATCCCATCCTATGAGCGTGTCCTCGCTCATCCTCAGTTATATGGCAGATAGGAATCATGTTGTTGAAAGGACAACTATCATCTAACCTCTGAAGCAAGAAACTGATGACCCTTAAAAATGGAATTCAGGACCATATATAAAAGAAGAATGTAATGATTAATTTGGAATTTCAGATGCTGAGACATAATTGTTAACATTCTAAAATATAAATAATTGTGATAATTTATTAACTAAAGCACCAACTCATTACGTGCAAACCAAAACCAAATATTTGTAAAACATAAATATGTATGCATCCACACATTTGGCAAAGAAACATCATTTAGGCTACAAGACTATTCTACCTTACCATTGCATGCTTAAGTTACTGGAAACCTCTGATGGATTATTTTATTTAATAAGTTCGAAAATTTAATGACTCACACTCCTGCTTCTTTTGTTCTTTACCATAATGAATAACCTTAGGACAGAGAAGAAAGTAGCAACTGTGTTCCTCCATAGTCTCAATATGGTAGTTAATTCTTTAGTCTAAGGTCAAGCTTTCTCCAACTGGAGGGAGACAGTATCACATTTCCACATTCATTCTCATCTTCCAAAAGCTTATTATGTTTAAAGAGGCTACTAAAGTGGCACGGATCTCATAGACTTGACACATAAATGCAGGTTTTCATTACAAAATAAAGAAAATTGCTTGAATCTCAATTTAGTGAAGAAGGCAAAGGCAAAAGTTCCGATTTAACTGATCTTCCAAATGAAGGAAAATTAACACACCTGGGATCAACAAAGGTTGTGAGATCAATAGTATCTCTGAAATTCACGTGGCCACTCAGCTTACTTAAGCGTCCGCGAGCATCTTGGCTGAACCTCTTTAGATGAATTGTCAAAATAGGAGGGGCTTTATCAATGAGTATCCTTTTAGTTGCATCTCTTTCCACTTTGACACCTTTAGAGTCTGTCTCGTTCTCACTTTCACCAGATTCATAATTAGCAGAACGTTCATCCAACTGAACTCCATTGTTCT